AATTTTCATGGGCTAACTTATCTTTGGTCTAATCTATTTTTAAAGCAGTACATGTTTAAAAATAAAACACAGAGAGAGAGTGAAGAACTCAATGAAGTAGAAAAAGAAAGTTGCGCCACTTTTAATAAAATACGTTTGCGTGCCTGAGGTGTTCGAGTCAGATGGGACGCGTCTTGTGCAGCACCGTGTTCTTCTCCAATGAAAAATGATAGGAAGAGTGACGTTTTATGAAACGTTTTTGCATTTACCGTCTCTCAAAACGGTACCTGACATCCCACGTTGCCATGCATTATAGGGGTGGCAATTTGTGACACGACCCGCGAACCCGACCCGGACCCGGACCCGATACGAAAATTTCGTGTATGGGTCAACCCGTTTAGTAAATGGGTCGTGTTAGGGTTGAAAAATAGTGACACGAAAAAATCGTGTCGGGTCACGGGTCAACCCGTGAACCCACTTTGACCCGTAAAAAATTTGGTATCAAATACGCCTTAGCCCTTTAGAGTTTAGGGTTTCCATTTAACAACGCAGCTCTATTCTATCTCGCCTCTCTACGCTGTCTGCTCTCGCCTCCAGGGGTTTCTTCTTGTGTGCGTTGTTTAACTCGGTCCTTGAAGGTGAGGCACCTACAAATACGCTCGTGTTTCCTCTCCTCTTTCAGCTCCGCACCAGCAAACAAAGGGGTAAGACGTTTACCTTTTCTGTTTTGTTCCCCTCTGTGATCAATCGTGCTTAAATTTGGGTCTTTCTTTCATTCCACTGCAGGTTTCCCGTTTCTGAGTTCTGACCAGCCGTGGAAGAGTTTCTCTTTCCTCTTGCATGCAATTGGATTCAAGCTCTGTACGGTTGATTTCTGAAGGTAACCAATTGATTTCTAAAGTTTTCTTTTTTTTCTTGTTCTCCTACCCTGTACGGTTGCATGTGAGATTAGGAATGATAGTTGTTATGTTTCCTCTCTCCCTGTTTCGGTTTCCAAGTATGCCTCAAGAACAAGAAGTTAGCTTATTGTCTCTTATTTCATTACTTCTACTCATTTAGACCGATTTGGACATAACTCTCACAAATTCAAAGAAGTGTTATTGAAATTGAAATTCTCACTGTTGACTAAAGTGTGTATTAATCTAAGTCAGAACATTAATGTGGCTTAGGAACTATGAAAATTCTAAATATCTTCTTAACGTGAAGATCGAATTATAGTGAGCATGAAAATAGTTTTTCTTTAGACTTTAGTTGTCCTGTGATCTGATTACTTGGACGAGGAATATGTGAGATAAATAAGCAATGTTAGACCCCTGTTGATGGCATAAACCGAGCTTGTCAATGTAGTCTACATTGAGCAGCTTGGTCACGATTAGGTGATCAATGAAGTGAAATTAAAGCAGAAAACTTTTGGTCTTGAAAGCATAAGAAACTGATTAGAGTATAGAAGTGGAAGAATGGGAATTTCTTACAAACATGTCAGTAGTTCTTAATTTTTTGGTCTTCGCTGCAAGTTTCCATAATCCTGGTTCCATAAATTACTTGCTATAGTTTTGAGTGTAAGTTAACATAATTATTTGTCTTGTAATTGTTTATATTCTTTTGTATATTTATTGATATTATTTATTTTATAATATTGTTAGGAATTTGATACTTTTCATGAAGTGGTTGTGCCACAAAAGACTCAGCTTGAATTATATTTAGAGGATCCAAGGATTGACAGAAGAAATATTAGCTTGGATGTGTTATCATATTGGAAGGCTAATCAATTTAGGTATCCAGAAGTTGCTGCAATGGCAAGAGATATTTTTGGGATACCTATTTCTAGTGTTGCTTCGGAAAATGCTTTTAGTGTTGGAGGAAGAGTACTTGATCAATACCGAAGTTCACTCAAACCTGACATAGTTGAAGCATTGATTTGCACTAGAGATTGGTTATATGGAGAGCAAGGTAATATACATTATCAATCACTTATTCATTAACTGTTTATTTTAAGGATTTTAATTAACTCATTTGATTTTTATTTTTATTGAGCAATCAACAATAGCTTTGGAAGAATTGACAGAAGATATCATGGACATGAATCTACATTCAATAGCTGATCATGGCGCTCAAAATTACTCAGTTGCTTAATGACTTTTATATTTCAAATTTTTCATCAGTTAAATGATCTTGAATTTGTGATCTTAATTTGTATTTCGGTGGAAGAAGTTGCTGTAAGAATGAGACATTTGTTGTAGGTTGCATTTAATTATGTTTTGATGTTGGATTGATGGAGTTCAATGTAGTAAGTTATTTTGATTTGAATTAGATTGAACAGTTTTAATATGATTTGAATTAATATCACTTTCTGTTTACTCATGTCGGGTCGAGGGAAGATGTTGGATGTGTTTCCTGACTACAGGAAAGAAGCTGAGGATCATCTATCAAAAGCTGTAAGCAAGACTGAATTGTTAGTTTCTGTGATTTAATGCGTATTTATACTGATATTTAAGCGAATGATTTATAATTGAATCTTCTGTGCCCCAGGTTAAGTTAAACTCATCTCTTGCAGATGCTTGGCTATGTTTAGGTAACTGCATTTAGAAGAAAGGAGATTTATCTGCTGCAAAGAACTGCCTTAGCCTTGCCTTAAACAAGGTTAGCATTGATCATAGATTTCCATGACTTACATTACGTGACTGATGAAGTATGCACAGGATTGTTTTTATGGCTTGGTTTTCACGTGACTGATCATAAGTTAAACCCATCTCTTGCAGATGCTTGGTTTTCATGGATCTTTTTAATTACATTAATTGTAGCACAGGATTGTTTTTATGGCTTCTCCTTCAAGCTGTCTCTTTGATAAGTATGCAGAGGGCTTGATTTGCATTGTTGTATTAACAATCTTGCTTTCTTTTCTCATCTTTGTTTTTGTCTCCTTGTTCACAAGGATGTTATGTATTACATACTCATCCCTATCTATTTATTTCTTCTAATTTGAATAAAATTTATTGCTTCTAAGAAATTTAAATAATAAAATTCAATATTTCCTTCCCTTTCTTGAGAAAATGGGAAATAAAAAGTGAGGGAAACATCTCTTTTTCCATTACCAAATAGGTAGCAAAAAAATCACTGTTGAATATGAATATTGCTCTTTTTCAAGGAATATATTCCATCTCCACTTTGCCTGCAAGGTCAGTGTAAAGAATAGCCTTTTATTTCATTACTCGTGTCGGGTCGGGTCGTGTCGGGTCGTGTCGTGTCAGGTCGTGTCGTGTAAAATACAGATTGCCCTCAAATTCGGGTTATATCGTGTCAACCCGTTTATACATGGGTCGTGTACGGGTTGAATTTTATAACACGATTTGTTAATCGTGTCGTGTTCGGGTTGAGGCTATTCGTGTTCGTGTCAGACACAGGTTGACCCGAACCCGACCCATGAACACGAATTGCCACCCCTAATGCATTACTATGGCCAATAGTATTCTGATAGAATTATATAGGTCAAACATTCACCACTTTGAATTATATAGGTCAAAAAGTCAAGAAAATTTCTAACAAAGTATGCTCCAACCAAAACGGCAGGGTTGGTGTAATGTATTATCAACCGTCCCTATATGCTCCAACCAAAATATCCTCCGATTGACACACCACTATATGTTTTCTTCCTTAATCTTAGGTAGTATTTGGTTCGGGACAAATTTTTTTTTTACTAGGGAAATGTAATTGATAGGAAAATGATTAGAAAGTGAGTTTGGTAGGAAAATGTAAAAAAAGTTGTTTGGTTGACCGAAATATTACCAGGGAAATTTATTAAAATATGCAAAATTTATGTTCGGGAGAAACTTTGCACCTGTTTTTTCACTTTCCCAGTTATCTCAAAATACCACATCTCAAGTGGTATTCTGTAACAGTGAAATTCATCCAAAAATCAACACAAAAGTCATTTTCCTATCTATCCTATTTGCCTAGTATTTTTTGAAAAAACCTGAACCAAACGTGGTATTTTCCAATATCCACTTACACTTTCCCATCAATCCCAAAATAAACCTTCAACCAAACACTACCTTACACTCTTTGTCTTTTCGAGGGTTGAACTCGGTCTCTCTCCTCTTTAATTTTTTTTTTTCTTTCCTTCTATTTTCAAACTAATCGGGTCCCAGGGTTGGTGTAATGTATTATCAACCGTCCCTTTTTTGAAAGCTAGTAAAGTAACTGACAAAAGGTTCTTTTCTCGGACCATGTGGGTGATGGCATATCAGACCAAATGATGGAGAAAATTTTTATTTTCCAAAATGACTTACCATGAGAGGATGAATGTGATTTTTTTTCTTTCTTTTTTATTAATTTTAATGATGATAAAATCTGGGAAATGAAAACCGACAAAAATTGGTGTTTACACAGTGATTCAAATGATGAAACTATATTATCATCACGTACAATCAGTGTTTTTAGAATTCGGTTCGGACCGGCCGGATCTATAATATTATATTTAAGTATTTTGTTTTTGCGTTTGTTTTTGTAAAGTTATTTTAAATAATTTTATCTATTGTTTAATATTATTTTGAAACAGAAATCATGATTTATTTATAATTTTAATTTATTTCAGCGTTATAATAATCTTTATATTTTAATATTTTAATTTTTTAAACTTAAAATGACTTCGTTTCGGTGAATATTAGATAAAATTATCTAAAATAACATTAGATATTTTTTTCTTTGCTTTTTTTCTAAAAAAATAATAATAAATTTTCAAAGATTTATTAAAAGGTTTTATTAGAGTTATGTTGTAGGAAAAATGATTGTATAATGTTATAGATATTCGTTTTGTGTGCCTTAATTTTTTTTATTTTTTTTTTTGCATTAAAAAGTGCGGGTCCCATAAAATATTGTGTGTGTAGAAATTTTTTTGTCATGTGACATAATGACATGATAGATGCAAATCCTTCTATTAAATTGTAATCTTTAAAATGGTTTTTTTTTTTCAATGACTTAAAATGTTTCTTAGAACTAATCTCCAAGCATCGTCACATGTTAAATAATAATTGAAGGGAGTGGGTGCGCCGTGTGGGGAATAGCAAAGGGAATCGTTGGCCAGTCTCATAACTTTGTTCTTCATCGTTAACCAAGCAAGGAGAACATTGCACTATTGCAGTGACTGATCCTAAAGTACAAGCACTAGTATCCTCTTAGCATCTGTGATTCCCAACTGAGCAAAGCTAACAGAGCCTCTGCTTCTTCCAAATTCAAGAGAAGACAAGGTATGAAGTTTCCCCACTATGAATATGCATGTACTAATATTATGTATGGTAGAATTAATTTGTTGCCAACATAATAATTAAGTCTTAAACCTACTGTTTAGATCTGATATCTATATGTGAATAAACACAAAGTAGTCTGTTTTGGCTTTGTTTTTTTTACCATCCCAATATAAGTTTATTCTTATGTAATATTAATGTTCTGAGTGTGGGACTAAAATTTTAGCTATATCCAGCATTTTTACTTCAATCAAAGTTTGTCTTTCTTCGTAATTGATTTCACGGATCACAAACACTAAGATGCTTCTTTGTGATCCAACAATTAAGTGATCTAACAATACATTCCATATTGATGGATCTTTGACTAATCAGTGCACTTGATTCTCTATTGCCAGGTTACCATGGATTTAATGGACTTAGGTAATGACTTAGGTAATGTACCTAAATCAGTGAAGATACCTTTAACCAAACAACTTAGGTAATATACCTCAATCTCACTTGTGTATTTTAATATTTACTCCTCATCTAATTAAGGACAAACTTTTTTTGGTAACTTCGATTTTTGCACGGGTTTCTAAACAGAGTTGCTCTGATACAAGACAATGAAGTTAAGGTAGAAGGTTTGGTCACAAATTCATGGAGGCTTTGCAGCATTCAGCAAGTTGAAGAAGTCAAATGTTTAATTAAAATGATACCAATCTGAGCTTTTGGTATCTTGTGTTGGATACCAATGGCACAAGCAGGAATCTTTTCTCTAATCAAGGCCATGAAAATGGACTGCCACCTTGGACCACACTTTGAACGATGCAGCAGGAATTTCAAAGTGTGGCACAAATAGGTCATAGCAGGGGAGCCATATTCCTGCTGCATCGTTCAAAGTATGGTCCAAGGTGGCGGTCCATTTTCATGGCCTGGATTATAGGAAAGATTCCTGCTTGTGCCATTGGTATCCAACACAAGATACCAGAAGCCCAGATTGGTATCATTTTAATTAAACATTTGACTTCTTCAACTTGTTGAATGCTGCAAAGCTTCCATGAATTTGTGACCAAACCTTCTGCCTTAACTTCATTGTCTTGTATCAGAGCTTTAGAAACCTGTGCAAAAATCGAAGTTACCAAAAAAAGTTTGTCCTTAATTAGATGAGGAGTAAATATTAAAATACACAAGTGAGATTGAGGTATAGTACCTAAGTTGTTTGGTTAAAGGTATCTTCACTGATTTATCATCTCTTAGTGCATCATGGATCGCTATGATGGCGGGCTCTGAGCAAAGACAACAACATCTGAATGAATTGAGTACTCTTTTTCAAATGTAAAAGTTCATTTAATTTCACTTCATTCATTTGTAGGAATTTAAATTTCATTTTTATAGTTTCCTGTTATTTATACCATTTACTTTTTGATATTTGTAATACCACCCATGCCATTATTTGGTATACCAGGGAAGAACATCTTCTTGTAATCCTTCTTTACATAGTGGGAATTTTCTATACTACGTTTCGTAATTTTTACTCCTCAGAATGAATAAGTTTTTCATGTTAAATACTCTGTGTTTCTTTATCTTTTTCTGTTATTCTGCCAACTTACTAGCGCTCATTAGATCCTCTCATCCTCAGCAATATCTAATATAATATGAAGAATTCATCATAAATTTTATAAATTAAGAATCCCAAAACACTGATATTTGTCATAAACAAGTCATGTATACTCATTGCCCGAATTTTTTCTGCTTTAGAATACCTCCACTTTATTGTAAAGCCGTTTGGAAAGAAGAATCACACAAGTTGCCATAAACAGTCATAGAATTTTTTTTTTCTGACCTTTCAGGTATCTGTTGTAATAACAAGTTACAAGAGTTTCTCTAAATTTATTTGTGTATAGTTCAGTTATAACAGTGCAACTTTATTTGGTATCTTACTTTATTCAATGCTCCATTAGAAGATAGATATGTTTGGTTGGGTCTGTACAGCCATTGTCATCTTGCTACTGGTTCTACTCTGGAAGAAATTGGAGTTTGACTTTATAGTATTTATTACTACTATTTCAAATAGCTTTATTGCAGACATTCTGAGTTTCATATTTCCCCAACTAATCGAGTTTCAACAGAACTATTATTCAGTGCTATTAGTATGTCTTCCCCCTTGTTGTCCTGTAATTTGGAAACTTTGTTTTGGAAGAGAAAATGCATGTGATTGGAAAATGCTTTTAGGATACAACAATAGTATGAAAGTTTATATTTACATCATGGCCTTTTGCAGTACTTCAATTATACGAGGATGCTCACTGTTTGAGGGATCTAATGATAAAATGGAGGCTCTTCTTCTAAGACAAAACATCCACTCCGTGGACATGCTACTGCTGATAGCTGCCTCAGAAAGTGACAGACAGGCCAAAAATTGAGAAAGAAACTCTTGTGAGCTGGAGTAAAATTTGATTTAAAAGATGCAGATGGATGAATAGCCCTGGATAAGGCTAACGATGACATTCAAGATTTTATTTTTAACTTTTCAGTACATAGGGCATGATTAGTTTATTTCCATTAATGCTATTTCAGCTACATAGTTGTTTACCTTGTGATAACTTTTGAATTATGTATGTTTATATTCTTTTGGTAGATCATAAGCATGAACTTTATCTTAAGAATCAGTATTGAAACTCATGACTAATTTTAGACATACTAATTGAGGACCATTAACATTGTCACCCATAAAGTAGTTACCACAATCCAGCTGAGGAGGACAAGATTGTATCGGAATTGAGTTTCAAATCCGGAAAACAGAATCTTTACATAAAGTTATTTACAAAGATTTTTCTCACCCCACCGTCGCTACTCAGGGTTTAATGGAAAGTGGTTTGAGCTGCCATTTGGTGTATGAAACTCGTCTCTGTGTGTGGCTCTTGTTGATACAGCCAATTCTTACAGTGCTAGTGTCACATGCGTAATGTATAATTGTTGTGTTAACGTAATTATCCTTGCATTCGTTTGGTCTTTCATGGCCATTTGCCTAATCATCAAATCAAGCTCATTCATTTATCCTTGAATTGCAGCTTCAGTTGAATATTGTCATTGCCATTGATATAAGGTATTGTTAGAATACGAGCTGTGAATTGTTTTTGACATGATATGTTTTATTTGTTATCATGGGCTCTTTGGCTTCCTTTGATTTGTTATGTAGGCAAAACTAGCAAAAGTTTTTATGAAGTTTTTGGTCATGAAACTAGAACAATAAAGAACGAAAGTCATTGCAAATGAGCACTACGATTGAACTGAGTCAACTAAAAAATCTTAGGTTCAAAAACCTCCTCACCCCCTAAACTTTATGTAACTAGAAAAAATAATTCTGAAAAACTCTTTCATTAAAGTTTTATGGAAATCTAAGGCTGGACATATTGGTGACAACTATATATTTGTAGTTTTCTTTTAATTTTGTTTCACAACATTTTTTTCAAAACTCTTGGTAAAAAAAACCAAGAACAGCTATAAAGAAGATATGGATCCATACAATCAAACATAGGACATAATGTTTATAATTATTGATGCATTTCCCAAAAATAAGTCAAACCATGTCTTAAAGACCAAACATATAGAAAACAAAGAAGCAGAACACCTATGTAGCACACATACCGACACGAGATACGATACATCACGAGACTTCGACACGTTAATTCTAAAAAATGTTATATTTCGACACGTTAGGACACGTTTTGATATTAAATAATATTTTTAATTTATGTTGCGTATATTATATTTAATATTCAACAATTTAACAAAAAGATAAAACTAAACTTATAATATCTATTAATTTTGCAAAGAAACATAAGATATCACAAATATTTATATTAAATTCAATAAAATGGTAATAGTAATCCAACGAATCTAATAGTTAAAACTAAAAATGCAACGCAACACAACCTTTGAACTTTTTTTTGAGTTTCTACAATTCGCGTTGGAGTGTCGGCTAGTGTCGAAAAGTGTCAGACACGATATATCAGAGTTTTTGAAGTATCGGTGTTTCGTAGCATAACATAGCACTCAATTCAATAACAGAATGATATCTCCAAATCACTTGAAGCCCTGGAGCTGTCATCAAGAACTCTTCTATTTCATGGTAAACGCCACATTTCTACTGTCATATCTTCAACCTCACCATTCGGTACATTGATATTAACCTTCTTCAAAATCCTCCCACAACGGATAAGATAGTAGAGCACAAGAAGCCCATTCACGGTCCCTCTGAAGTCATTTACCTCCACCACCTTCAGAGTTGATATCAAGCATTCATAAACAGTTACATTGGCCGTCCAGATTCTCTGATAGTCAACATCCAATAGAGTTTCATCAACCTATAATGTATACAAGCATACAACACTTGTTACAAGTTCAATCTTAATGTATATGTTTGTTACAACAAGTATGTTACCTAAGCAAAGAGATTATGGAAATCACTTGCAAATTTTTTTTGGTATGTTAAGGGAGAAATAATGCCACCATATTCTAAGGCAGACTTATTGTTAGGCAGGCAAGGGAGCTCAAATCAAGAGAGATCTTCTATTAATAGGCTAAGCATATTCGACACCACATCTCAACTCAAACCTTAAAACATAAATTTGTAGATCTTTTTCTTATATATATTTATCGCTTATTCTAATCTTAACCAAAACCAATGTGAGACTTTATTGCTCACTTATAAAATTCTCTATTCACGTTACAAGCATATAGTGGTATTTACAAAATCAGCTATAAGGGAAGATTAAATGTTAAAAACTTTGATGTGCCGGTCTGATCAAAGTCAAGATCAGCCTCTTCTATGAATAAGGGGTATTTTATTTCAAACAAACTCATTATCCTAGAATACTTGAAAAAACGTATATTTGGTGCATTGATTTTGAACAAAACACATTGAAATAAGCAATTGTCAACAACAAGCCTTCTCAGCCTCAAACCATTACCTATAATTTCAAATTCATTCGAGTTCCAGCTTCAAGAAAACCACACGAAAACAGCTTCAAAGATTCAAGGGCTTTATGCTCATAAACATATGTTGGCAAATCAACCAAAGCCTTATGTTCTTTAACATACACTTCCTGCTCCCAATTGGGATCAGAAAAATCTAGCCCCAACTCTTTCACACCATGTTACGTGGCAAAGGAAACACACCTTTCTATGATATAATGAGCATTTTCTAGCATTGATAGCTTTAAAGAGAACTTTTCCACCACAAGCTCTTTGTTGTTATCAAGCCAAAATGTGATGAACCTCAGAAGATCCCTTCTCCGAATTTCTCTTTTTTGGTGGGGTTGATTAAGTTTAACAAAGCAGAGTTTATTGAACTCTATGTTTGTTGCTTTTTCCCATTGGTGGAACCAATGTTTTGAAAGGATGGATGTTCTTACAGCTTTCTTAAAGTGAAGGAAGGATATGATGATGAGAAGCAATGAGTTAGGCAACAAAGTAAACCTATCAAATTTGTTTGCCATAGCTACTATAGTGATTGGTGATGGTGGTGGGGTTTTCTTGCATATGTTCCAAGAGAATGAATGCAATGGATGCCAATAGAGGAGGGTGTTCCGTTCTGATGAAGGTGTTGATGGAATTATATGTCACTCTAATGGCACATATATTAAGACAACTAAGGAAGCACAATCCAAAGTAATTAATTACCTGTCAATTATAACTTTTTGAATTTTGAAAAATTCAAAGGGCAAGGACAATAGTTTATCTCTTAACATATGGAGCGGCATTTTTTAACATATAAGTACTAAACTTATGGTAAGAAAGTAATGCTATTATTAAATGTATATTAACATTGTCAACTGAAAAGGATAAAATATATTTAAATACACGTTTTTTTTTAACTCTATTAATATGATAAATGTTTTTATAAATAATAATTAATAAAATATTAAATGCATAGCTTTTGAAAAATAATATTAAATGTAAAAATAAAATATAACTAATACTGATAAAAAATTTAAACAAATTATATACTTTTTATGTGGAAAAGACAAAGTTTACATATTCGAATTATACTAAGAAGATTTTACCAAATATATATATATATAGAAAAAAAATATTTCTCCAGTCACCGGAGATAAAATTATCTCCAGTGAGCTCAAAACGACGTCGTTTTGGGTTATAAGATTAAAAAATTATAATGATGAAGACTAATATAACCCTGCAATATATTATAATTACAAAAATACCTTATCTCCGGCCATCCCAAAAATACGTCATTTTGTTATTTATTTCCTTATATTAATTGATTCATCTTTGAATGGTTATGATTCATCTTATATATATATATATATATATATATATATATATATATATATATATATATATATATATATATATATATATATATATATACATAGGGCTTATCATTTCTCAAGTTGCCAAGAGATAATTTTATCTCCGGCTACTAAATCATAACCGTACAAAGATGAATCAACGGTGATAAAGGAAGAGAGAGAGAAATGAAATCGTAAACATTCAAAGATGAATCAATTAATATAAGGAAATAAATAAATAAAACGACTTAGTTTTGGGGTGGGCGGAGATAAACTTATCTCGTTGCCGGAAAAATATTTTTTCCTATATATATATGTATATATGGGTTTACATTTCTGCAGCTGCTGTACGTGCAACAATCAAATACTTGCCACATATATACTTAAAAGCATTACATACGGGGAATTATAACCATACAAATGATGAAAGCATTAAATATGGGGAATCATAACCATACACCTATCGTTGTTGTACGTAAAGCGGCTGCAGAAATGATTTTATCATATATATGTATATATATATATATAAGGACATGATATTCTCACACTCAATCTTGATCATTGATCCACTTTATCCAGTGGCTCACATTACTAGAAAATTAGAGCCTTTAGATATAAGTGAGATCAACGGATAAGATTAATAATATGACTTACACTGGTATAAAATGATCTTCTCCTATATATATATATATGATGGTTATATTAACAAAAAAATATTTTACAAACTACACTATGTCTTATTGGTAAGACATAGTGTAGTTTATAAGTTTGTAAAGAAAATGTTTATAAATATAACCTTTTTCATATATATATATATATATATGGAAAAATGTTTCTGCAGTTAATACAGATAAGTTATCTGCATTTATTCCCAAAACGACTTCGTTTTGGTATTGAAATCTTAAAAAATTATAAATATAAAGACTATTATAACCCTGAAATAAATTAAAATTACAAAAACACCATGATTTCCTCCCAAAACGACGCCGTATTGAGCTTACTCAGATAACTTATTTGCAGTAACTGCAGAAAAAGCCATATATGTATATATATATATATATATATATATATATATATAGTGGCGAACGCAGAAATTTTAATGGCGGGGTTCCAAAATAAAAAATATTATATTATAAACAAAAATATTTAAAATATAATACAGACCTAATATAAAAAAAATAAAAGAAATCTATTACAGAGATTAAGATCACTTCATTCGACTCTTATTTTACGTATTTTTTTATTTTCTTAAACTCATATATAATTGAATTTGTGTTAAAACTCAAAAAAATTTCTTTTTTAATGTATGTAATTAAAGAATCATCAAGAAATTAGTTTTCTATTTTATTTCGAAGCTTGTTCTTGATTTTATTTTACGCATGCGGATCCTAACTTTTTTCTTTCTTTTTAAATGTCAAAATTCGCATGTGTAAATATGTTTGCTACAAAAAAAATCATATGCTATTGTTACAGAAGAGACGAACCCATAAATAAATCATGTTATCCATTATCAATAAATTAGATACCCACAAAGTTATATATGTCCTTTCATTTTTTTATAGCTAAAATTGTTGGAAATTTAAAGAGATTAAGAATAATTTAAAAGAACGCACTACAATTTTTTAATCTAATCACGTGTTTGGTCGAGGTGAAAAAAAAAGTTCCTAAGAAAATGGGGTTGGAAAATTATTTACATATGTTTAGTAGGAAGTGAAGTAAAAATATGGCTAGGAAAAAAAAAATCCATCATTTACTTTTCTATGTAAAATAGTTGGGGAAGATTACTAATGAAGAGTGAAGAGGTACTTGAAGAGTGTTTCAAGATTGAGTCTCATGCCCCCTTCAACGAAAATGCTTGTGCTTCCTCTTCAGTTGTCTTCTCTTACAATTGCAAGTTGAACAATTTTCAGAAGTTTGATTTGAGCCGTTGAGGTTTTGTGCTTCCTCTTCACGCTCACGCATGTCAGTATTTTACCCACTCACACACATTTTGTAATATTATTAAAATACCATTTATATATATATTTTTTTCCTATCAAATTTTAGGGGGCGGGGGCCCACCTTAGCCCCCCTCTAGGTCCGCCTCTGTATGTATATATATATATATATGGGTTTTAATTTATTAATCTCATGTTAAAGGAGATACGTTATCTTATGTCATAGAGATAAATTTATGGGCTCCACCATCTGAAAAAAAATAAAAAATGACACAGTTATCGAAGGGGTGTATAGGAGAGAAAGTTACCACATGTAGCATAAGAGTAATTTTTCATATATATATATATATATATATATATATATATATATATATGTATGTATGTATGTATCTAATCTTGCATTATCACATTATTAAATATTAAATAGATACTTAAATTGAAAAGCCAAATCCTCTTAACGATGTATCCATATATTAACATTATAAAATAAAAAAGATATTATATATATAATAGATCAAATTTGGGGTGTGTACAGCAGTTCAATTCGATTTTCTTTACTGAATCGAATTGAATTGAAAAAAATAGTTGCGAGGGAATTTGTGACGGAAAGTAGTAGTGCGGATGAAATTAGCGATGGAATTTCGATAGCAATTATACAAATTTTTTCTAGTAATGAGTTTTGCTTGGAAGTTAAAAATTAACAGGTTAGATTACAAAAAAAAATTAACAGGTTAACGGGCTAGGCCATGCAATTTATTTTTTATAAACAAGTCAAGTCAGGCTAACAGTTAGACTCGTACTAGGCTTGAGCCAGATCAATTGAAAAAAAATTGCGTAGGCTTGGGCAGTGCAAGGTCTAGCGCAGAAGTAGAGTTTAAAGGGATGGCACATGGTTTTGTGAATTATTGTGGACTAAGAGTGTATTGAAGGACTTGAGAATATGTTATGAGTAGCCAATGAAGCTACATTGTGACAATAAAGCAGCCAAAGAAATTGCTAACAACCCTGTCCAACATGATAGGACTAAGCATGTTGAGGTGGATCGAATTCTATCAGGGAAAAGCTAGATCAGAAAGTAACCCAATTCCCATATGTGAAATATGAAGATCATATGGCAGATGTACTGACCAAAGCGGTTTCTGGAAGAGTGTTTGAAGAAGCAATTAGCAAGTTTGGCATTGATGCACCAACTTGAGGGGGAGTGTTGAATTGAAATTTGAATTCAAATGTTCTCAATCTTTCTGTTATACGTTTCTATAATAAAGTTGAAATCTTTCTGTTATATGTTGATAAACCTCTAGTTTATCTTGTTTTTATAGCTTAAATTAATATAAATTATCAAGTTGAACAAGTCAAAAACTAAGATTTTAACATAAAATCATGAACATTATCTGATTACGAATTAAATAAATTATATTTGCAATTTTGAAGGGATTTGATGACAAAAGGAAACAAATATGAAGATATGGATAGATGGAGAGCAAAACAAAAAGATTTGAAGATCTTATCAAGATTATCAAGTTTTTAGAGAGGGGGCTTAAGCTCCCATTTCGAAGCTACAGCCTCCTAAATAAGCAAATAGCCACTGCCTGAGGAAGCTTAAGCCCCCAAATTCAAGCTTAAGCTCGCTCCAGTTAAAAAGTTCCTCTTCCAAGAGGGCGCTTAAGCCCCCAGATTCAGGCTTAAGCGCCCATCAAGAGGCTTAAGCCCCCAAATTCAAGCCTAAGCGCGAACGTTAATTCTGAATTCGTAAATTAGAAAGCTTAAGCACAGATGACCAGGCTTAAGCGCCCCAGAAACCCAACTTAGGCCCAATTCGAGTTATTCACTTAGGGCACGATTCTTGGCCATTAAAAAGACATTTTGGGGTCAAAATTAATGAAGTTTTTCACATTCAAGAAGAGTTCTTGGTACTTGGGAGCAGAGGGAATGCGGAGAAACATCTGGTTCATGTTCGTGAGCGGCGGAGACGGATCAACATCAAGCTTTCAATGGAGATACTGAAGATTCACCAATCAACTATGGAGTTTGGGAAAGCTTTTATATTTTCTTTCGTTCTTGATATTGCTATGTCCGGCTAGATTCTTTAGTAGTTAGGGTTAGATGGAATTTAAGATCTTTATTATGTTTTGAACAATTCGTTATGTTAATTTTCCTTTCTATCATGAATGAAATTATCTATTTTTAATGCTTTATATAAGCTTGAATCTTATATATTGATCTTAGGTGAATGCATGACAATAGGAATGTTCGTGTGTGATCCATATATTATAATTTCATCGTAAACTTTATGATTCTAGGGATAGACATAGGGTTTGCGTAATCTTTATGGTTCCTGAACTTAATGCTCACCTTCTTGGAGAATAACCGGGAAACTAGGGTTCTTACAAGATTGTAAAGGTTTAGGGTAACAAGGGATTGAGCCCTAATTACATAAAGAATTGATTAGATTGATATTAAGGACGATTAACGTAAAGAAGGAATTCAAACATAATAAAGAGATTAAAGAAAATCGAAACCCTAGCTACGTTCTTTTAAATTAGTAAATTCAAATCATTAATTTCTTGCTTTTATTCTTGATATTCATTAGAGTTAAATTAAGCCTTTAAATTCTTATTCTTGCGGTCAATTAGTTTGAATATTTTTAAAGTTCAAGTTCAAATTCTGTTTCAAATACAATTACGATTGTCCAATTTAAGATGCAATAGTGAATTAGTGCTTGAGTATAATCTTCGTGAGAACGATCTCATATTCAATTATTATATTACTTGTACGATCGGTGTGCTTGCCGTGAGCAAACGCAACAGTTGTAAATTCAAAGTTAGAATAGACATTACTGGAGTATTTACCAGTTCAAAATGTTTAGGGAGATAATAGCAATTTAAGTGCTATGCATATATGTGTATAAAGATCTCAATTGAAGAAAAAAAATGCAAGAAACTATTACCCCAGTTTATTTGTATCTACTTTTTGACATTACTGCATATGGGCTTGAAAAAAAAAAAAAAAAAGAATATTATTGCCGAAATATCAGATAAAATGAATATAAATGGGGCTTATAAAAGAAAGAAAAAATCAAATTTTATTGCTGAATCCCACATAAAATGAATACAATAACAAAGAGCTATTGTGGTATTCCATGTAAGACAAATACAATAACAAATTGTGATGCTGAATCTCACATAAAACTCTAACAATGTTCTGGTCAAATTGATGTACAACCTTTCAGCAAAAGACTTTTAGCCGGTGGGAGGATAGCAACAGCCCCTCTTTGAGGATCCGAATATATTCTGTGCACAACTTTATGCTTTCCATTTCCAACAGTGGAATGAAATTTTACCAATAGTCTTGCACAATCCCTGTATGGAACCAACAAAGCCAAATAAAATTAAACAACAATTGAATAAAAACAATAATAATGAATTGTAAAATACTACATAATATTAGGCAAATATTTACCTAAGTTGTTCTTGTGAGTAACCCGTGTGTAGCTTGAGTGTCTCATTCCAAACGGGGCTCTTATTGAGAGTGCATCTGGCTGCAAAGACTGCTGAGGCAGCCACCATTGATGGGCAATACTTAACTAAGGTGACATAATGCATCATTCCCAACTCACAAAGAAAATGGGCCATATTTTCCAACTGCAAAAAATAGTGCATAAATAAAAAAATAAAAAAAAATAAAAATAAAAAATAAAAAATATATATATATCAAACAAGATATCAAAATTGAAATCAATTTTTCACTCACTCACCATCATATCTGGAATTGATGCCTTGATAAAACGAACTAGGAAAACAAATGGTGTAGGAACAGTCAAATTCCATTCCAACGTGCCAAGTTTGATTTTCTCCATGCCCAGAATCTGTTCATGAGTGTAAGCTCTATCTGAAAGGAAGACAAATTCATTAACCTGCAAAAAAAAACAAGTGTTTTGTTAACTCAGTTTTATCTTTCTAACATTGAAGAGGCCAGTAATGATGATAGTAAACATGCATAATCAAACCTGAGGGGCCCAGATTTCTTCATACTTGGATGCTATGAGCATTGCACTCACACCAACCAATTGCAGTACCCTCTTTGGCACAGGCTTGACTGCTAGGAACCGATCAATTATATTGATTGTAAGATAAAGGGTTTCAAGCGAAAGGTCAAACTTGGAGTGAACATCCATAAGCCAATCCACGAGTACTTTTCTCATCCTTTTCTTTATTTCAGGTTGGTGTTGTGTGTTCATGTAGTGATGGTGACGGCTCTCGTTCTTCATGCATCACATTCAAAATAACATATTAGAACACCATTACATCATACATAACCAAGAAAAACAAAAAAATAAATAGAAAAAAGTAACAACAATGGAATCCAATTATGTTTGATACCTCCACTTCCTTGTAGAAATTGTATATGTCTTCAACATATTCCACAGCAGCAAGATCATTGCCAACATCACCAGCGTCAATGTCAACAATCTCCACCTTCGGTTTGTTAGTCACACCGCATGCCGCCTGAAACAGAACATTCCAAGAACTTGTCGTCAAGACACAAACATAACATGGTTCAGACACACACACACACACAAAGAACTTGTCTTATTAGTATTATTATTTGTTTTATCTCAACCTTGCTTCGAGCTGTGAGCACAGAAGTAAAAGCTCGTGATTTCTTTCCGGAGTTGGAATCTTCTTCCTTGTCTTTCTTGACCTCTCTTTCTGAGCTCATTTCAATGTCTTCTTCAGGCTTTGTTTTTGCACTGATTATCATCTGTCCCACTCTTTCAGTCACTGAAAAAACTCCATCAGCAACTGGAGGAGGAGGAGGTCTAGCTACACCAGCACAAGCCTCCTTCTGCAATTTCAAAACATAAATAAAGAAAGGAAAAAGAAATCAGAAAACAATTAATGAAATTAAATTAAAAAAACAAAACAGAGAAAGATGGAACATAAAATAGAGAGTAGTTTCTACCTTGTTATTTTCAAGTAATTGGGCACCGAAACCCCTTAAAGAATCATAAAAATATCCAATATCGCCAAGTGCTCTATGGTTTCTTCTCTCAGATGAAGAGATTTTCATCTTCTGTTGCTTTCCTCTTCCAACGATAGCCTCGCCTATATATATATATATATATATATATATATCATTGCAAAAAGCCATTTCATTAAGAAATAAAGGTGATTGATTACTATCTATTAATCGAAGATTCACATTTAATAAATTTTGTTAATTCAAAAAATATAAAAAAATATAAAAAAGGCTCTTTTACAAACATTAATTATAACACTCTTGGACACAGTACATCGAATTATCCGAAAAGACAAACCTTACCTCTGGCCTGTCGTCGAACGATAGATTTTGAACCCATTTCGAACTCTTATTGTCTTGATTCTTGAATTTATAATCTTCTTCTTGTCGCGCTCTCTCTGTAGGAACGTTGATTGAATGTGGAAAATGTGAACGAGAATGAGAATGACAATGAGATGGGGCAGTTAAAATCCCCTTCTCTTTCTTGTAGCTGAAGGAAATGAAGCTTCTCCCGCCAAAATTCAACTTTTCTTTCCGTTGGATCCATAGACGCGGGTGACTGGAGTTTATAATAAATAAACACAAAATATAAAATAACAAAAAAATTAAAAATAGAATTACAAAAATTAAGTGTTGCTTTTAAAAGGATTTCTCTCAAAAAAAAAATGTATAATATTTTTTTATTTTGATGTAATATTAAAAGGAACTTTTTTTTTTTGATGAAATATTAAAAGGAACTTTTAGTTATAAAATTAAAACAGGTTTTCTTTATATAAAATTATTAAAAAAATTAGTAAAACTATTCTTTTTTCTTTAGATGAAAAGTATATTGTAATTAAATTTTTATTATATTTTTAAATTTGTTGACACTTCAATATTATTTAATTAGAAATTCGCCACCATTTTTAATTAATTATTTCATACTAAAATAATAGCCCAAAAATAGAAAATAAATACTACATAATAAAAAAATTCATAATATAATAACCTTCACTAGTAGTTGTAGATCAATATTGAAGAATAATTAGAAGTAAAAGAAACAAAGTAACATTTGTTGAAAAATGAGTTAAAATGACAGTTAAAGGATAAAAATACGGATAAACAAAGTTACCCGAAAAGTGAAAGTAAAGTTAGAAATATGACTAAAAAAATATTCTAGTCCAGTGGGTAAAGTTTGGTAATGAATAGAGGTGTACAAAGAGATAAGTTATACCCATTGAAATAGTAAACCCACTTAAGTAACTCAAGTGAGTTACTATTCATCAATTTCATTCTTCACTTCCACGGACATAGAGCGAAGGAGAGAAAGAAAGAGGTTTTGAAACCAAACCTTCCAAGACTCATAATTTGAGCTAGAAACCTCCAAATCACTCCGTTTCAAAGTCAAACTTGTGAGAAATTTCGAGAGGAATCCATTAGTACCAGTATTCTTGGATGGGGTTCACTGTAGAGAGAGATCTTCTTCCCCTAAAATTTCGAATTTCATGGAAATTTCGGGTTTTGATGGAGCTTGAAGCCATGGGAGCTTGAAGTAGGGGTGTTCATCAACCGATCCAAACCGATTCAAACCGCGGTGACCGAACCGAAAAACCGATAACCGAATAAATCGAAAATCGAAAAACCGAAAACCGATTAAAAACCACAAATTTTAATTGGATTGGATCGGTTTTTGGATGGGTTAATGAAAACCGATCCAATCCAAATCGATCCAATATATTAATTTCTCTCTACCTACTTGGGTCTTTCCCTAATCATAGCCTAAAAATTTCTAAACTCAAGACCCATTAACCAATCAACTAAACCAAAAAAAAATCTAGTCACATCTCATCAACAAAATTTTATCTTTGTAGAGCTTCATATCTCATTACCAAAAAAAAACTATATTATAATTTATTAATGCTTTTGTATTTCAAAAAAAATAAATTTACAAGCCAATATATACAAAAGTTGTTATTTGCACAATAATCATGAAATAAGTTTTAGGATTTTCAAAAAACCGAAAATTGATACAATCCAAACCGAAAAAAATTGGATTGGATCGGATCGGATTTGAAAAAAATTAAAACCAAATGGATGATTATATGATCAAACCGAAAGGATTGGATCGAATGAGTTTTGCTTCCAAAACCGATCCAATCTAGACCGCGAACACCCCTAGCTTGAAGTAAGCTTTCCCCTTCGTTCTAGGTAAGTTTATGTTAAGAAATCCTAGTTTTCTTTGAGTTTTGAGTAAGATTGAATTTAGGTTTCCATTTTGAAATTTGGTTTAAATGAGCATGATAGAGCTTGATTGAGACTTAGCTCATGTTGAGAAAAGTGTTTAGATGAGAATTTTAACGGTGAAAATGTATTTGGAAAATTAAAGATATCGTATTTTTGAATAGTGTTGCGATTACGGCAAGTATACCGATCGTTCAAGTAATAAAGTAGTGAAATAAGAATATCTTCCCACGAGGATTAATGCGCCAAATACTATTATAACTAGTCCCCTTAATTTGGAAAACTCGAATTGGTTGTTGGAAATAATTTTGGAATTTAAATTAAAACTAAAATTAATTGCAGTAAATAACGAGAATATCAAGAACGCAATACTTGAGAATTTAGAATATCAGAAACAAAAGCTGCAGTTAGGAATTATTTCACCTCAGATCTTCCTAGAGTAATTTAAATTAATTTCAATAATAATTTACCTCAGATATTTCAGACAATTCATCTTCTAAAAATTATTTGGTTAAATCCTAATGTCTTAGTGACTTTAACCCTTTACTCTAATTAGAATCCTAATGTCTTAGTTAATTCCTCTTAGAATAAGCAGTAAACGCGATGAATTATGAAGTCTACAACTCAAGCAAGCCTATGTCTAAGTCATACAAGAATTGGTATTTTACCCCTGTCAAAACTATAACCCCAATATGTCTATTGCGAGCTCTAACCCTCAAATCCCTATAGGAGTGATCAGTTCATACAAGGATATAAAAATTCATGCAAGGTAAAACAAAAATACTGAAATACTTTATTAAAGAAATTAAATCAAACCACAAATAGGATTCACATCGGATTGATAATCCTAACTACATAAATAAACTAGCCTAACATGTTCATAAACTCAGAATTACTAAATAATGAAAAATAAACAGAGTTCATGATAAACTTGGATTAAAGACGATCAATGGTGGAACTTTGATCTCCTTCTCCTCCTCTTGGAATATCGCTCCAGACTTTCTCCTCTGCTTCTGCCTTCTGCCTTCGTCTCCGCGTTTGCCTTTCTTTCGTCCATCTTCTCAATGTGTGTTTCTGAAGGCTTCGTCGCGTTGTATTTATAGGCTGAAAAATGGGCTTTTATTTTTGGGCCGCTCGCTGAGGAGCTCGCTGAAACGAGCTGCTCAACGAGTAATTTCCTCTCTGGTCGCTATTCCACTCGCTATTGCGAGCTCGCAAGCGAGCACTTCGCTATTTTCCTTCGCTTGTACGAGTTGTAGGGCGAACTTAGTGTTTTGCTCGCTCACTTGCTCGCTTCAGCGAGCAGTGGAGCGAGCATTATTATTATTATTATTTAATTTCTGATTTTCTTGTTGCTCCGCGGATTCCACTCTTTCCTCGTCCTTTATCATATTGGTACTAGTTTGTTCTTCTAGTAAAACAACCTGAAACAACAGTCAAACATTAGAATCTTATCTATTTGTTGGCATTTTCATATTCTTTCAGATTTTATTAATTAACACCATATTTTTAATAATATTAATTCTTATTTGAACTATTTTTCACATTAAAACATAGTGTTTTTGACACTTATCAAATAGTGTCATATACGTGAATAGTGACGTATACATGAATGGTACGGTATTGTTCAGTATGAATAGTAAAGAAAAGATTTGATAAGTAAAAGATGAAATCAATAAATGATGTGTCTGGTTAATTACTTGGCTTTGAACCATTTTATTGATATTTGTTTGGATTCCCTATTCTAGGTGCGCCTAAGAGTCTTGTAGAGGATCCTACATCAGAGGAGGCTTGGTAACTCGGTTGTCGGGTAGGCCATCTATACAGCTTTGAGAGGTAAGCTCTATGTTTATGAGGTTCGCTCCTACTTTGTGTTCCGCCATAGTGTACGGACTGTGGTCAGGTTGTATGATATGCATGAGATATATGATATAGATGCATTCATATAGAGCTATATGATGATGTGATATGATCTGTTTTGATGTGTTAACTTTGATATGATTTGATGTATTTAGTTTGATATGTTTTGATGTGATTCCTGTAATGATCTCTGGCTATTGATTTGTTTATGCACTGGTGTCCGCTTGGGGTCCTCCCTTGGGACTGACTATGTATATATCTGTTATATGTTGAGTTCCGCTTGGGGTCCTCCTTTGAGAACATGTGCACTGATTTCCGCTTTGGGTTTTCCCTTGGGATTGATTGTGTACACCTCTGTTATGTGATGATATTTGGCTATTGATCCTATGTGCACTGATGTCTGTTTGGGGTCATCTCTCTGGACTAACTGTGTACATATTTGATATATTTTTGGTTCCGCTTGGGGTACTCCCTTGGAAACACGTACGTTGATTTCCGGTTAGGGTCATCCCTTGGGAATGACTACGTACGTCTCTGATATGATATGTTTTGTCTGAAATGATATATGCTCAGTTTAGTTATGATATTTGTTACGCACGTTGATTTCTGCTTGGGGTTATCCCTTGGGAATGACTACATACGTCTCTGATATGATATGTTTTGTCTAAAGTGATTATAGTAATGTTTTAGTTATGATATTTGTTACGTGTGTTGATTTCAGCTTGGGGTCCTCCCTTGGGAAATATTGCGTGCATCTTTGATAAGATATATGTATATGTTTGTTCCATTATTATAATTGCTTATATGATGTTTTGTATATTATGTATCTAACTGTCATGCAGGAAGAGAGCCCAGGGTATGGAGAGTTTTCCATAAACCTGGAGTTTACTAGAGATTCGTCTCTAATCCCGTTTGGGGATATGATTTCAAGAACATAGTTAATTGAAGAGCCCTCACGGGACAAGGACACTACTCGTGGCTAGAGGTATTAGTATGAGGATATGGAGTTCTGGGTGGCCGGAGGCTACTATTTATTTTAGATGTACTTTTGGAGTATATGTATTGTTGTATAGTGTTCTATTCATTTTGTGATCATGATGTTTGATCCCTTATATAGTATATGGTTCGTATATGTTTTGTACATGTGTTCATATTTGATGCATGTACATTTGTATATTCAGATATGTGCATGTGCTGAAATATGTGTGCTGTTAGACATAGTGGCACAGAGCCAAGTTATGCATGCGCCATGGACGGGTATATTGTCCTATATAGATATCTGGTATTTCTGAAATCATATATGGTATAAACTGTTTATTAGGAACAATTGAGAGTGGGATTGGGAAATCTCTAGTTGTCCAATTTACAGAGGTTACTCTACCCGATTTTTCTTCTTTGTCAAATAAGAACTAAATAAGGAGAAGTATGCAATGTGAGATATCATGTGAAAAAAGATTAAAGAAAAAGAAAAAGTTAGCTCGCACTTTCGTAAGTTAAGTCTTCCGTTGTTTCTGTTTGTATCATATGTATGTTAATTGAACCGGCTTGAGACGGGGATGATACACATAATTCTTGAAAATTCATTATTAGCATTATAATAAAATTTTGCAAAAAAAATTAACTCAGACCCTTCTCATGCAGGATTATAGGCTCAACAAGTGAAAAATCCAAAAAGCCCAAAGATGCATATTATTATTATTCATATTATATATTTGATCTTAAGTGGTGAGGAATAGGGTATTTATATGCCTCAATCTATTAGGAGGGTGTGTCAAGTCAACTGTCATGGGAAGAGTCAAAGTAGCCTGGTGTAATGCCTCGTTGTACACCTAGAAACATTAACATTACATATGATATTAAGCGCAGTTACAATCACATTGATTAGTTAAAACTACGGATAAATTTTTTCACAAAAATGTTGTTTATTTACTTTTTAAACAAAACCGTAATTATAATCATGTAACTTTCTCTAAACTGAGACCACTTCACTTAACAATTAACTTTAACATTTTCATTATGATAAACTAGACATCTAAGGCTTTCCGAAAAGATATTACAATAGCTATTTGGTTAAGTATAGCCGGAGTTATTAAACTAGCGACATAGCTGACAAAACCAAACTTTCAGAATTGGAGCATCAACTTCAATCCTATATTGACATTGATATACTCATACAATGGCTCTAAAATTTTACAGGGTTATATCTCTATGTGTTAGCTTCACATGGGTTCAAACCTCACTTAATTTGGAGCCTTGTAGCTCGAGTTATGCCAATTTTACTAATGTTCATACTGAAAACGGGATATGCCTTAAGCTCGCTGAAAGCGCTTAAGCGCGTTCTTCGAACATTTTTTTCCGCCTGGTTGCGTGCTTAAGCCTACACAGGCAGAGGGAATTGGTATTTTTAGGCCACCAAGAGTGCTTAAGCGCTCTACAGGGCGCTTAAGCGTGCTCCGACGGAGAAAAACAGGTTCAATTTGTATATTGGCACTTAACTTTATGGAGCATTTGGTGAATTAGATACCTAATAAACTAGACATGGCCAACAATGATTCAACACACATTGTGGCACTCATATCCCATCATATTCATCAATTTATCATTCATATCAAAATGAGAAAACATGCTTCACATTCAATCAATGTTACAATGAATCATTTACAATAATATTTTTCAAGATAATTACATGCCAAAGGACTTAGCTACAAAAGGGACACGATTAAAGCTATTAGTCATATCCAACAAGGCATTCACCACCACCATGATCATGCACTAAGTCCTCCAAAATACATCATGCAGCCTCAAAAAATACATATATAAGTGACAATGTAAATGACATATACATCCACAATCCTAGATAACATGCAATCCAAAAATTCAGGCTATCAACATATGACATCTAGTTCAAATACAACTACTTGTCACCAGAGGCTCCTGCAACATATGTACTTGAAAGGGGGTCCCTACAACTGGGGGTGTGATATACGAATATATCACAGTAAACCAGGGATTCTTGGAGCATCTCTCCACCCTATAGTTCACTCACGGTGTAATAGCAATAACAATAAATAATGCCATAAATATAAATTCATGCAGTGTGTAACAAACATCTCCAGGAGATATCCCTAGAGCTCTTATGTTGTCCTAAGGATACTCAGATGCAAATTGTTCTACTGGCCAGCTAAACTACCAAGTATGAATTACGCATCGTCACGCAACATACAAAACATAGGAAAACACCATCATATGCCACATCAAATGCATACACATACCAAAGCATTAAACTATTTTATTGTATTTACATACACTATCAAGAACCACTACCCATTTCGGGCTTGGTGGAACAATAAAGGGATCAATTTCCAAGGTCCGAAGGCTTACCTCAATGCTTCCAATCCAACCTTTGTTCAAGAACAAGTTTGCAACCAATCAAACTTTGAATTCAATCCACAATCTTACAAAATTCACATCAACACTCGGTTCACTCAAACAACCAAGTCAAGTTCCATTGCTTCCACCGGTTCTTGGTGAATCAAAGATAATCCACTTGCTTCAATCTTATCCACAACATGGGCATAATCAATCACCCAATCAATCAATGGCTTGGAATGTAAAGAAAATCATAAACTAAGCATGAATGTTTTTTGAAAATATTATAGTGTGCCCAAATGATGATCTAAACTCATTTCTACCGATTAAATCATCATCTAAACAACTTTTTCAAATTTTTCAAAGGAATTAAGCCTCAATCAACCTCTAGACTACCCCACCATACATGCATATTCATGAAATGGAACCCTAACATACGCAACATAGTAAAACTCAAGGAAAATGAAATTTCTTACCATTGTTAGCCTTAGAATCACTTAGGGAGTAGATTCCAAGCTTTGAATCAACAATGGGTCACTCCAAGTTCACCAATCTCAAGTTAGGGCACCATTTTTCTCTCCCATTTTCTCTTAATGCAAGGCTTTTTGGTAGATTATGAATTAGGGATTGTGTTTGTCTCACAATTCTAAGCAAGATTGGTCCAAGAATTAAGAGATTTGGTTGAGAAATGAATGAGTTGGGTTTTTGGAGCTTTGGCTATGGCTTCTCTCCCTCTCTCTCGGTGGCTGCATGAAGAAGAAGAAAGGAAATAAATGTGTCTTGTGTTTTTTTACACTTACATGGTTTAAGTTATTTCCATAGGGTAATAGCTTATCTATCTAGTGAGCTCAGTTCTCTTTCAAACTTTACTCAATAGACTAGAATATTTTTCTAGTAATATTTTTAGTCTTACTTTTACATTTTTCGTACTTTTGTCTACATATATTTTTACCTCATAATTTTCACTGACTGCACTTTTTACTCAAAGTAACCCTAATTAATTTAATTAGGTCTTTTACTTCTTTCAACCCACTAATACATGCTTAATTACTTAATTACGTGTAATTTACTAATTAATTAGGTTAGGGCTATTATACCTAGCCTTGTTGGAAACAAATGGGAGGAGGAGTCCTCCGAGTAAGACACTTTGGTGTCTTACTTTGGGAGCTAGCCTGCTGTGCAGGTAATAGCCTTTAGTGTTTAGGGTTGAGATGGCTTGGGCCTTTAGTGTTAGGCATGCCTTGCCGAGCTGGTGGATTAGGCTGGCCATAAGAGAAGCCCCCAACTCAATAGCAAGTAAGGTCTTCGTGCCGAGATGAATGTGTCCCTCGTCAATCTATTGCACTTGCTATAGACCAAAGGTGTTGCTCCGGATTGCAATTACTGATTAGTTTGGGCAAGGTTTTATTCAACAAAGTTGGATTTACATTAGTTTGGGATTTTTTTTCCCATAAAAAAATTCATAAAGAAGAAACATTTTTTTCTTAATTTAAAGTGTTGACAAAAATATTTAAAGTTTAAACTCAAATTGAAATTATACACTTAATATGACACAAAAGTAAATTACTCAAGTGAATCCATTTATTCTGAATAAGTTTAATTCATACACTATTTATGAATGAAAAGAATCTGTATCAAATGCCAAAAAAATGCAAGTTAATGAAGACACCCACACTACATTGGATTGGTTATGCCACATCGGGTAGGAATGGAGGCTAATAAATGAATGTCGGTACCATCGTAGAATCCTCCATATAATATATAAATGTTCTATCAAGCTATTACAATGTAGGTCCAAAAAAATGGACCCAATTCTGCATCTCATCACACAATGTGGGAATAATACCCCCAATTAGGGACGAATCCTAAGAAACATACATAGAACCACAATCATCATCACATAATAATGGTTATACGGACTCTATACGTGTGGTATATGATATATAAATCTTCTATCTAAGCAACAAAATTTAAAGAAACATCTTCAACTACATTGATATGCAGAAAGATCACCCACTGTCTCAGGGTCACCTTCCCTTAAGCAATTAATTGGAGGTATAGTCAAAGTCTCCTGAGTCCCATAAGCATTCCAGCAAAAAGGGTCATCCAGCAATTCTCCTTCGTATGGTAAAAGCTCAACCTCAGAGAGTGTTATGTTTGTGCAAGCAACAGTGTCACTGCATGCAAAATGAATAGGAGGGGTTCTCACATCATAAGTACCCTTTATGTTTGTGTAGTACACATCATTAACATGGACAGCTGAAGTCTGGTTTAGACATTCCTTTGACAAACAGTAGTATTGGTCTATAATGATGCAGTTCCCAACATTCACCATTTGGATGTTCTCAAATCTCAAACCTGCCACAGATCCTGTCCCACCTTGCCATGTCTTGATTCTCAGTCCATTGTCTGATTCCTTTATGATGGTGTTACGAACAGTTAAGTTAGAGACACATGCTTGGGAGTTGTGTACTCCAAGGCTTCCAATGCTGTAGAAAACATAACAATAAGGTCAGTCAAGCATGATGAAATTAGCATCATAGAAAAGTTGGTATTGCAAACGTTTCACAATTGCTGTGTTATCTATTTAATAGACCAAGTTGGGCAAATTCATTTCAGGTTAAACTCACACTTCCAAATTGTTTTTGTATATTAGTATGAATATATACATATATTAACTAACAAGCATCACTTATTTTTGTACCTAATCCCGTGGCTAGGACCACAAGTAACACCAACTATGTCCACATTTGAGGACCCGGGTCCAATTGAAATGCAATCATCACCTGTTAAAAATCATTTATTATATAACTTGGACATCTAGCATATGTAAGAAATTGTGAAATAAAGTGATCATTGATTTTTAGCCATTACCATTGCTTATCATGGTGTTATATATCCCAACAGACTTTGAGTTTTCTACATGAATTCCGTCGGTGTTGGGGCTGAGTTTAGGTGAAGAAATGAAAAGCCTATCGATAAGTACTCCTTGGCAGCCATCGAATTTCATGTGGATCTGAGGACTGTTTTGAATTTTCAGCCCATTCACCTTCAAATTGGAGCTCATGAAGAACCGTATCATCTATCCACAGAAAAGAAAAAAAAAAATGGTAAGAAAGTTGTATATATATAAACAGTTAGTTAATTCTTGAGCTGAATTCTGAAGAATAGTTTACTCACAGCAGGACTACCACATGGCCCTGGCAAAGTTTTTCCATCCGGACCCTGAAAATTCCATTTTGTCACTACCACTCAGTGGGGTTTCATCTAAAAGGAAAAAATGCAAAACAATAATATAGGGTCATTGTATTGATGATAAGATAAAATGATTGATTACCCTGTGAGGTTTGCAGGGGAGATCCCACCACTTTTCTCCATTGCCTTCTATTGTTCCTGTACCATTAAGAGTCATTTGGTCTAATCGATAAAACACAAGCCACTGATTTTGGCTATCTGCTTCTGGCCATGAACTCGGTCCATCTGGTGCCATGAGTGTACCATCCACCTAATTATATTTGAACCTTGTTAGTGAATTGAATACAAACATAATATAATATATATAGTCCATGTATTAAGAAGAGTTTTGTTGCTCTTGTGGTCCTGCCCGACTCGACCAGATTAATCAAATAATCAATGAACCAAGGGAGAAATCTTCATATATTTATATATGGTGTATAAAAAGTGATGTGAGGTGATGAGCTTGGCGACTGAATAAGCATTCTTACTTGAAATACTAATCCCGGTTTGCATGGACCTGAAAAAATGGTTGAAGTGATCTTAAAGCAGTAATTTTCTGGAGCTAGAACAACCCCTGACTCTACAGCACAAGCTGCTTTCCATGCTGCTCTGAATGCAGGTGTGTCATCAGCTGAACCATCTCCAACTGCCCCAAAGGATCTTACATCGAAAACACAGTTGGAAGAGGGATCCCGGGGAGGATTTGGATAAGGTTCAGAAGGAACACTTGGAGAATTAGCAGGGGGTGAAGGGTTTTCTGGCTCATGGGAAGAATCAGCAGGTGGTTCAGGAACATGTGAAACCTTCTTCTGGTTGGTGTGATGGTGGTATCTTCCTTCCACATTTCCCAGATTATGGTTGAAAAGTATCACAGTAATCCAGACAATAAGAAACCCACGAATGAGATCCATGTGGAGTTCAAGTCTGAATTGTTTTCACCTTGGATCAACAATATGTTATGTGCCAATGTGGAACAACAAACCCTGCTAAGTTGCTTCTGTATATAGACAAAAAAACAACAGCTTCAGAAATCCTAGTGTCAAAGATAATTGGAGGAGCTTGAAATAGAAGAAAGTAGAATGGCTAAGGTCTAATTTAACTTCACATGATTCTTAGCAAATTGGCCTAGCAAGGACCATCTCTTATTTATACTCACAACATACATGATCCCTCAGGAATGAATTCTCAAAGAATAAGGTTGCCACTTGTCATGTCCATGTTGATTAAAGGTATCAGGGTTCAACGTTTTGTGGTCCCGTATATGATGTCTTGGTTCTCTTCTTACACTTAATTCACTTCCCATTATTTTATCTCCTATACCTGTGAATTTTATGTTTTCACAAAATTGCACACTGAACAATATTTTTCAGTTGTTCATCTACTGTGAGGCTCAGCTTCTCTAGAAAATCGTGCTAAAACACTATATGTGCTTCTATTTATTTATATTTATATGATTAGAAAAATAAAATTTAATTAACTGTCTCTTATGAGTGCATGCACATGATGCTATCAGTCATCACAGAATAGTACTAGGTAAAACTAATTAAAAGAGAATAATAGGCTCCTTTGTGTTACTTTGATAAAATATATTTGACCCTTTAAGAGATTGAATATTTCTAATTGAAGTGGAACTCGTATTAAGTTGGAAAAATAAACAAGCCATGTGTATATATTTTCCGAGAAAATAAGCAAAACCATTCTAAAAACTAGTGTCTTTAGTGTCTGTTTGTCCAATCATGTAAGATGTTTCTCTTCGGGTTTTCCCTGAGAAGAGGCCAATTAATTGACACATGCAGCTTCTGAAAAACCAATAGTATACGAGATATTGCATGTGTAACATAGCAATAAGTTAAGAGGGCCAGATACTAAGCAACAAAAAAGCTAAGCATCATGGTAGATAGTACAACAAAACTTTCATTGTAAATCAGAACTACCATTCTAATTTTGAGTCAAACTTTCTCTTGCTTGCAAAATTAAGCAACTTGTTCTCTGATTAGATGTTTCATATGATCTTATCCTCAGGTAATTAACACAATGCAGAAATCACACACACATCATTGAATTATATCCTATACATATTCATTCATATTGTTATGCCAAAATATTTGCTTGTTCTGTTCTGATAATATGAACTTACACTCACAAAGGAACACGTAGGCTTTGAGAGAATAATCATTCATTAATAGTTTGGTGCAGAAAAAGAATTAAAAATACAAGTGTCAAATTGTGTGAATATGGTTTTGATATAAAAGCAATGAATCTCGTGACTCTTTGTTGTTGTTTTGCTCCTTGTGGCCAAGGAATTGTAGGCAGCATATATTAGGTGAGAGACAACTGAATTAACTCATTCACGGGTGGAATCAACTCTTGTTTGATTAAATGCCAAAAGGAAGAAAAAAAAATGATAGAGAGAGACACATAGAGAGTGACCCTCTTAGAAACCATTACCTTCCCTTATGCTATGTGTGAGTAGTCAAGCAAATAAAGAACATTGAAAAAAGCAATAGGACTATGTGACTTCACTTGATTGATGAGGTTTTTTTTTTTTTTCTGAGAGTTCAGAAAGTTTCTGTAACCATGCAAATGCAGTTTATATAAGCAAGAGTGTGGTACAGAAGAATGAGTTGCTTAGTGAGACATGAGTGTGAAGGGGGGTTTTATAGAGTGATAAGATTTGCACAAAGGAAATGGAATTGTTGAGCATGCATGCATTCGTGTTTGTCTTAACATGTCACGTGTGAACTCTCACGGGTGAGAAAGATAGAGAGAATTTCAAAACACAAACACATATAGAAGCTTTAACAGAAGAAAAAGTTTGTGATCAAAGAGATTCTGGGGTGAACTTTTTTGTTTTCCTGACAGACACATTGAAGGTTGCCATTGTGTGGTTCACAATTAGACACGTGGTTCACAATTACTGGTTCTTTGTTTCATGAATTGTAATATCTCTGGAAAATAATATTAATTTATAATATAATAAATTAATAATAATAATAAATTATAAATTAGTAGTAATAATATATATATATATATATGATGGTTATAAATAACAAATTATAATATAAATTTTGATAAAACAATTTTGTGCGATATGAGTGCTATTTGAAAATAATTTTGATACTTTATAATACTCTAGATTATTTATAATAAAATAATATTAATATATATATTTTATTATATATACATATTAATATTATTTTATTATAAATAATTTAGAATATTACAAAGTATCAAAATTATTTTTTAATAGCACTCGTATCGCACAAAATTATTTTATCAAAATTTATATTATAATTTTTTATTTATAACCATCATATATATATATATATTATTACTAATTTATAGTTTATTTTTATTATTAATTTATAATATTATAAATTAATATTATTTTTCTGAGATATTACATGAGTGGTCCCAATAAGAGAGAGACTCTCTAAGTTCCAACACTATTAATTTTCTGAAATCTATGATTTGTACACACACCCAGCTAGTAGTTTAAATATATTTAATCACAAATGAAGTTGAAAAGTCTCTTTCACGTGGTGGTGTTTCTTGTTCTTATTGTGTGTCACGGGCTTAGAGGAAGGGATTAATAAAAAGACTTAATTGGGCTTGTGAATAGATTTGTTTTGGGGTTCTTTCTTACAACTGTTGTTATGAGTTAGACACTGATGAGTACAGGTTATGTATTAATTGAATTATAAGGAATAAAACAGATGTCTCATTTCAGTGACATTGTTCATAACCCATTATTTTAAGCTTATTTTTGGATGTGTTTGTCTTAATCATATTCATGGTTCTAATCAAACACAAACATACACTCGGACCAGTTAGAGTAATGTTGCTAGGTGTTCCTGCTTCACAGGGGCCTATTCCAATTCAAGCACAAATACATGCACATTGGAGGATATTGACAAACTAAATCTTACCTTTTTAAAATCTGTACTTTATTTGATTTTGAAATTTGATCACACCTTGTTTTTTTTTTTCTTGCTTATTCTATGGTTTAACAAATATATATGGTAGTAACTAATAATGTATTCATGTTCATGTATTGAATGAAAGCTAGCTTTAGCTGATCATGTCATTTTTACTACAACCGTTGGAATGTTCTACCATTTCTTAATTTGATAAATAGATTGCCAAAAAAATTGGTCTTTTTCTTTCTTTTGCAATGACAATATAAAACTTCATATTTGTTGTTTTTTAAAATCACCAATCCTATTTAATGCCGAAGCAGTAACCAATTGGCTAAACACAAATAAGAACGAACATAAAGATTGCGAGAAAATACTATTTCTCTTTTCTTAATTTTATTTAACCAAAAACAACCAAATAACAATAGGGTTCTCCAAGACTTAAATAGTCAAAAATAAAATAACAAAAAAAGTAAATAACTATAATCATGCGCAGTCAAAGGAGATAACGCACAATCAACGCATACTCAAACATAATCTAAAATAATAAAAGGAAATAACTAGCAATTATTAAAATTCTATAAATAAAGAAATAAATAATGAAAAAGCTCAATTCAAGCGAGTCACCCAGGTGCATCACTATTATTATTAAACTTTTAAAAAAATTATGTGGATGTTTTATTTAATTATAAGACATACAATCAGAACGGTTGAATTTTAGATAGAAATTATACGACTGTTCTCTTTTTGGAAACAACATACAATTGATCTTTAATATATAAAAATGACCAATGCAGGTTACCATTAATTTTCTTTAGTTGTCATAATGACGAACGATTAAGAGTGTAAGTAGGTTGGGTTACGTTTTGATTTAAATAGGTCAGACCAGTGTAAAATACTTTAGGTCTGACCTGATCTGTTAGCTTGTGCAGACCCAACTTATAAATATGATCTGACATATATTTAAAAAAATAAAAATCTTGGCGTAGGCCTATTAGCCTATTAGGCATTTAACAATTAAAAAAATAATTAAATCAGATGAAGATTATATTTACAAACTAAATAAATTACAAATTCTTACAATTAAATCTTAATCGTTGATTTCCATCAATCTAATAGTTATAATTTATTCGGTCATACTTAAAAATTAATTATTAATTCACAATAAATTATAACTGTTAAATTAACAAAAATTAACGGTAAAAGTTTGGTTGTAAGAGTTTGTAAACTATTTAGTTTATAAATATAACCGTCCTCTTAAAATAATATTATTTTATTATTCAAAATTATTAAAATAATAATTTTATTTATTTTATTTAAAATAAATAATATGATATAGGACGACCTATAAGTTTATAAACCTAACATGACCTGCTTTTTAAATAGGTTATTTTAAAAGTCTAAGCATGTTATATTTAACTATATGTAATAGGCCGAACCGCAAATGTAACTTGATGGTCATCAACTCATCATTCCATAAATAAAGAGATTTTATGACGCTCAGCTAGCTTAAGAAGAAAAACTTTGAGGGCTCGTTTGGTAGACAGGATAGGATAAGGGTAGGATATGATATGTGGCTGATAAGCCGATATCATGTCCTGTGTTTGATGAGCACCTGATTAGCAATCTGATAAGATTACGTAGAAGGAGAAAGCAAAAATAAAATATAATGCAATAAATACAAATATATTGGGTAGCGTGGGGATATATTGGGTAGCGTGAGGATATATTGGGTATCCAATATTGGTATCTTATCCTATTGAATCCTAACCCAGCTCCCCCCATAGGATAAGAAATCATGTATTGGATAAGATAAAATGAGACAATAGGATAAACTAATCATATCCTATTGACCCACCAAACAAGAGATAAGTGTAAAATATGATAAGTTATCCTATTCTATCTTCTTATCAGGTGCTCCAAACAGAGGCCATGAATGAATATCTTAGAAATCATTCCCTGTTTCTCACCAAGCAAACATATAACTTCTTTTACTCAAATTCTTGCCCATCCCAATCACTTGGCTACACTTAAGTGGTTCAAGT